CATAGAGTTACAGTCTCAGACACCCACAGGCACAGTTCTCCTGTCTCATGGGGTCACTGGGGTCAGCTTCGACTCGATGGCAGTCAGAGTGTGAGGGAGAGAGATTCCAAGAGGATCACTCTCTAAACAGAAAAACCAAACCAAACCCTTGGTCACAGCTGAAAGATGGGCACAACTGAAGTTAACCACCTTTATTTCTTTATATCCCTGAAGAAGCAACCGTGGTCAAGACCGCAGTGGCTGCCTGGCCACCTCAGTGTCTTTGTCAAACAACGCTGGGAAAAAGTGCAAGGCTACCCTCGGTTGAACCTACCGTGCCCACACACTGCACTCAAACCCAGAGCCCCATTTTCAAAAAATGGGCACGAACGCTTTTAAATCAGCCCTAGAAAAATAATGGAGCATTATGCAGAGTTCGCTTTAAATTCCTTTAACAAATATTTTGTAAACTATTAAAACGTGGTACACCAAAATAAATAAATAAATAAATAAAATAAAATAAAACGTGGTACACCCTGAGCCAGGCACCAAGGCTGCAAAAGTCAGGTGCTCTCAGTTGCAACCTCGGGGAGCAGACCTTCCTTGAGGGGCGGTGGTGGAGGAAGTCAGGTGGAGGGCTGGCTTCTTAGACCTTTGCAGGCTGGGTCATGGAGATGAGATGCCGTCAATTTTGTGGGGAACAACTGAGGTTTAGGAAGCTGAGCTTTCTTGAGCGCTATTTGTTTTACCTTTCCCCCCAGAGCTTTTAAAACTCTCTTTGTGTTGTGATCATAACACATTCAGAAAAGTGCACCAGGCATGGACATACAGCTCAAAATTTAGATAAAATTTTAGATAAAATTTAGATCGAAAAGCCCCCAATACTCTAAGCCTCACTGAAGCCCCCCTTGCACCCCTTCCAAATCATTAATCCCATACATCGTGCCCAAATGCATGGGTCTATTTCTGAGCCATTTATCCCATTAAGTCTCTGTCCTTGAGACAAACTAGTCATGCTACACAGGTGAACGGGGCAGCCTGTAGCTAGTAAGTCCATTCCTGAAACATCTCAGGAGGATGACAGTATCTATTGAGTAATGGTATTCAAGAAGATAGAGTGGATCTTGTCTGACAAAACCTGCCTCCTTAAGAAACAGATTAAGGGGGGGGGGCTTCAGGAGAGTTCATGGAAGGGGCCCCCCTGTGGCTGGGTTTGAGACAGGTGGTGTGGTTCACACTGCTCTCGGTTGCAGGGCTTAGCCACATCTCAGCTGCAGGGACTGTTAGCCAGTTCTGTCCTTCAAAGGGCAGTGGGTTCATGTCTAACTCCTAGAAGGAAACAGCAAAGGCTTGGCAATTTACCAGAGAGTTCTAACAGAATCGCAAGTGGAAACAAAGGAGGGCCCAGCACACGGACTGCTGGGTTGTCACTCTCCAGCACAAAAAACAGCCCCGAGAGAAATGCCTCTGCTCTTGTGCTTCCTGCACCCCAGAGTCTTGGCTATTGCCGGTCCCCGGCACTTTCATTTGACTTTCAGAGTCAGTGTGTTGAACTTCACACGCAAAACTGCTGATATTTCGGTGGGGATTTTATTGGCTCTATCAGCTTGTCAGGACTAGTCTTATTTTTAATGGGTGGAAAGTAAATATCGTGGGCTTTGTGGGCTGACACACAAAATAGGGGATATTATGTAAGCACCTGAGAGGAAGATGGGGCTTTGTATTCCCATCAAGTGCTTCCCACAAGGGCGCTTCTACCTACAGGGTCACCATGAGTGGAGTCACATGGACTCCATGGAAGTGAGGGAGGTAGGCAGGCAGAACCACGGAAACCGTGAAAAGCACTTCCTAGCTCCCAGGCTCCCTGGCCTGCATCGGCCAGAAGGCTGGCTGATGGATTCCGCCTGTAGGCTGTCTGTCCGGAATCTGTGCTTTCACTTTTTTTTTTTTGCAGTGATGCTGTGTATTTTGGGTTTTCTTAACCACGTGATGTGAACCCCCATCTCCCAGTTTTCTTGTTCTCTCTACAGCTAGAATAAGGTGACCAAAATTTTAACATTGGTGAAGCGGGACACCATTGATAAAATTCATATCCTGGCGAAATAGCCACATGGCAGCTGAAAACCGTATACCCTAGCTTGTCGTGCAGTCTTTCCCAAAATCGGGACCGTTTTAAAACGCCGCGGGACACGGGACACATTATTAAAAATCAGGACTGTTCCGCCCAAACCGGGACGTCTGGTCACCTTAAGCTGGAACCTCCCACTGGCTGATCTTTGCTTTCTGTGAAACATGGTGGTTTGGGTGGATGTGTATAGAGCAAGTTAGTTTTCCATCCACAATTTCCACACATTTTGTCTCCTGACATGAGTTGCAACCCTTCAGCGTAACGGTACTCTCCCCACTCCCCCACTGGGTCTCCCACTTCCATTCAGCCTCCAGGGCTTTGCATCTCAGCAGATGCGGCCCTTCTCTCCCTTATGGCTGAGGAGTCCGTCCTGCGTATTAGTGTTCACTTCGCAGGCTTGTCTGTTGCTTAGCTGAGACATGATCTCTGGACATGCGTCCCACCCGACTTGAAAGGTGGGTGGCTATATCCTTGGGGGTTCCCACTGGATTCCTAATTTTAGTAAATGGATTAAAAAAACAACTTTTTTCTAGAATTCAATGTTTTTAAAAAAAATGTCCAGCAATCTGCTGACACTCAAACTTGTGAGCCTCCTTGAACGTGTTGGGTGCAGTTCCCAACCCATAGCCACCTGTGTCGGACAGAAGCAAGCCTGGCCTGCAGCTTCCTTACAAGGGTTGCTGCTTGAGCTCACTGTCAAAGCCTCCGTCAGTCCATCTCTGGAAGCGTCTTCCTCTCTCAGTGACCTACTTTATCCGGCATGATGTACTTTTCCAGCCCATCCGGGCTTCATACATGGCCGGCAGTTCTTGTAAAGTCGGATTGCTCCAAATCCTTGCATCACCACGGGCCTGTTCCCATTGTTGTCTTGCTCCATTTATTGTCCTGCCTCCTCTGTCACCTAGTTCCATTTTACTGCATTCAGGACATTGAAGTAGCCCATTTGATGGTAGAAATAATTTGAGCTATGGGAAGGTGATGACGGCTTGTGGTAGGGAGAGTTTTTTTGGTTTATGTCAAACTCTGAGGGGCTACTACCACTCTGGGACACCTGAATCTAATTTCAAGGACTGAGCCCACTGGAAGCGGAACTGTAGTCCCCTGAGAAGGGCGCCCTACGTTCTACTGCTTTATGGTTCATGTTTATTCTCAGGGAGCAAAGGCATGAGGCTGTCAGCCCAAAGTGAGGGGCATTCACCAGGTCAACCACCCTTTGGCAGACTCATCTTTATTCTTTCTAGAAAGCTATCAGAATCATTGCTTAGCTGCTGAGGAACCTCCTCCATTTTTAGCAAATACCCCAGAATACTAACTGGTCGCTACCACTGAGCGCATGTCTGGGCCTCTACCTTCCCGGTACTCCCGGTCGAGTGATCCTGCAGACACGCTAGCTCTGATGCCTGGAAACAGGTTTCTGAAATCATCTGTCTAGTTTCTCTGGTGGCCCTCAGTTGGATGGTCAGACAAGCCACCTCTTCACCATTACCAGGAACGGAAGTCCTCCTTGCTAGTTACAGGAGTACGGTGGCCCCCAGGCTAGCAACATCTAAAATGTTGACAGAGCTCTAGAAGCCTTTGACCAGGCCTGGTTTGAGTTAAAGTTCAGTTTCTGGCGAGTCTAACTGGCCTTTCCGCGTCTGCCCGGGAGTCTACGTTGGCTTAGCTGCACTGACCAGTTATCGTAAACTTTTCACTGGTCTTTATCATTTTGCTAGCAGCCATGAAGGCCAATGCAGTGCTGCTTTTTTTGGATCAAGCCAGGATGCGGAAGAAAGTCTTGATGGAGGGGCTTTTTTGTGCGAAACGGGCCTAAGCAATCTTTAAAGGGGTCTTGAAGCCAGTTTTTGTATTTCAAGTTTCCCAGACTACCTAAAGTATCTTGTTTTAACAAGCAGTTCCTGGGACAGACGGTGCAGAGAGAAGAATGATCATGAATTCCTAAGACATCTGGTTAGAGCTGTTTCCCATAAGCGCTGTTTCTATGAACCACTCCCCTCAAGGATACAACACTATGGCAGAAAACCTGTGAAATTACTCCCTGAAATCAAGTCTGTACCCAGTTATTCAAGAGAAGCCTATTCCCCACCCCCTAACCCATCCTCCTTGTGACCTCAGCCAAAGAGTAACCAATCAAATGCCAGTATAATTTCTTTGTTCCGTGGACAGACTACATCTGTTCTGTTTAGCAGCTTTCCATCCCTATCTTCAGTTCTGGCTCACCGGGGTTTGTCTCCTTGCTGTCATGTGTTAGTTTTTTCTTGTTCTTTTTCCTGATTAAATCCCCCTTATCTCATTTTATGCCACCTCCTGGTGGCATAGTGGTTACACATTGGGCTGTTAACGGTAAGGTCAGCAGTTTGAAACCACCAGCTGCTTCTTGGAAGAAAGATGAGGCTTTCTCCCCCTAGAAAGAGCTACCAGTCTCAGTCTCATAGGACAGGAGCCGTTCTATCCTGTCTAATAGGGTCCCTAGATGGGTCAGCATCAATTCAATGGCAGGAAGAATCTCATTTTAAGGATTGGGTAGGCTTCTCCCATTAATCTTAACCCACCACTGTCCATCTTTACCTCTGTTTAAAAAAAAAAAAAAGCAACAGAAACAAATAGGCCTTGGCAAAAATGCATGGCTTCCCCAACAGGGACAGCTTCCTTCACTTCCAACAGCAAGCACGCTTACCTCCATCTACCCAGGTGCACAGCAGCTACCTGACTCATATATTTACCTAACGTCCATTGAAGGAATGGAAAGATGGCATTCTTGTGTATACCAGGCACTAAGAGATGGGGTAACTAGTTGACAGCCTTCAAGATAAAGCCTAAAGCTCAGGGTTCAGCTCCCCTCTGCTCCCTCTAATTTTATACTCTTCTCCAGGATACACAGAACTCTAGTCGCCACTGTTGAAATGCCTTTATTTCACCCACATCAAACAGAAAGGCAGAATTGCTAACTTGACACTTGTGACTGCTGAGGCAACAAGGTTTGACGATCCTCAAAAAAAGAAAAAACAAACAAACCAAGAAACAATAAATAGACAACCAGTAAGGATATAAAAAATTTTTTTAAAGGAAATAAAAATTTCATTATGAATAAATGCAAATTGAAATTAGATACTATTTTCTTCTATTAAAGAGATAAAGTATTTTTATCATAATAAATACCCAGTGTTAGTAAGGGCTAAGGGAAAGGACTGCCCTGTTACACTGCAGGAGGAGGGCAAATCAGTACAGCTTCAGGGTAAGTTTGTGTCAATACAGTGGTGTTTGAAAACTATCCATCCTCTGTAGTTCCATTTTCTAATCATGAAAGCCAAGAAAAAACGTTACGAATGTGTGCACAGACGTGACGACAAGGGGACAGGCTGTGTCCATGTTTCTAAGAGGAAGAACCTGGAAAACAGCCCAGTGGTGGATTGGACAAACGGATTATGGTACAGCAAGACAAGGGGTACTAAAGACAGCAGTAGACACAGACGGGTCTCCACTGACATGGGATGGCGCTCACCCTATTGTGATACAGGAGAAAAAGCAAGTTATCAAAGAGCACAGTATGAGCTCTATTTCTTAACACCAACACACCGTTGTTGCTGTCAGTTGCCCGGTGGCTCCTCCTCACAGCAACTGCTGTGTACCTCAGAAGGAATCACAGCCGGTTCCTGCACGACCTACACGGATGTTGCCACTTTCTAGTCTCAGGCACAGAAGCGCACGTGCACACACCGAAATACGGAGGGTATACACATGACCACCAGCCAAAAATCCCATGGATGTTTTGGATTCATTTGCAACAAGCGTACTACTCTGTGATTTAAAAAAAGCCTTAACAGTTAAAAGCCTAATTGTATAGAAAAATTACTTGTGTAGGCTAGGCTTGTGAGGAGAAGAGCTTCATAGGTTTCACTCACACCTACTGAGTGGACGCTGACCCAGAGGAACTGCCCCGGGGCTTCTGAGACTGGATGTCTTCACAGGAGTGAAAAGCCTCAGCTTTCTCCCACAGAGTGGCTGGTAGCCTTGAACATGAAACCCACTACATCACCAGAGCTCCTTTGATGCCCCAGGAGGTTGTCTACTTAGGGTTACTCCTTTACTTTACTACTTCAGACTTGAGTGATCATTCTCACAGCTGATTTCCTTTAAATGCCATAATAAAGGGCATCTGGCTGTTTTTCTGGAAAGAACGGTTTTCTCACTTCTAGATGGAATGGCTAGAGGTCACTCAGGCCCCCCGACAAGGAAGGAAGCCACTTTTCTCAGGGAGTTGGCTCGTTGTGGAGTCCCTGGGTGCTGCAAAGGGTTAAGCACCTGACTAGTAGCTGGAAGGTTGGTAGGTCAGGCCTACCCAGAGGCACCTTGTTAGACAGGTCCGGTGCTCTGCTTCAGAAAGCCCTGTGGAGCAGCTTCACTCTGCAGCCATGGGGCGCCATGCATCACAATCGATGCAACGCCAGCTAACAAGGATGGCTGCAGAACTGTGTCCAAGGCTCTCCCTTTACTGACAGTGGGGCCCTTCGCTTACAACTGGAGGAGGCAGAAGCAGCAAGCCGATGCCAAGGAAAGGACGGAAGATGGGAGAGCCTTTACTCAGTCCTCATCGCAAGTCTAGACCTCGCGAACCCTCAGAGAGACGGGGAGGATCACTGAAACATGGTTTTGGAGATCCCTTAAGAAGGTGAGTCACTTCAGAAAAAATTGACAGAACTACTGGAAATCATGAAGCGAGTGATCAGGAGAACATCACACTGGTAATTAAACAAGCGATCAGAACATCACACTGTTGGAGCCACTGGGGGAGAGGCAATCGCGCAATTGCTCATAGCCCGCAGTCACCAGGGGAAACCCTCCTGGCCGGTGGGTTATGTTAACTGATGATCCTGCCCTCTCAAGACGCCTTCCCTAAGAAGAAAGGAAAACAGTTACCTGTGCAGATGAGACAGAACTACAGACTCATGTGTCATTTGGATCAGTTGCCCGACAGGGTTACAGGCCTGATTTTCAACTTCTGGGCTACAGCAGTAAGAAGTTGTTAGAGAAAAACCTCATCAGGATTTAAAAGGAAAAGGGCAGAGTTCATCTGAACAATCAAATGTCACTACCAGCCTTCAGAAGAAGCTCTCCAGCCCGGGGCTAGAGGTATACCCAGAGCGATGTATTTCTGATTAGTGATTTAAATACTGCAGCCCCTCTGAAACACGGGTATGCTGCCTGGAGAGGGGAAACCGCAGCACGCCAAACATCGGCTCAGGAGCACCCTTTGTCACCTGTTGTGGTGGCTGAAAGGTTGCTACTGCTCTTCTAGAGCACCTGGCCAGGTGCTGGGGCAAAATGGAGCCCGAGCAGCAGAGCGAGGGTGCGAGGAGGAGGAGAGATGTTCCAGTGTCCCACACCTGTGGGGAAGGGAGGTGAGGAAATGGGAAGGAAGCCAGCCAAGCGAGAGGCATGCACTTGGGGCTCGGTCCTGTGCTTGTGCCGGGGGACCTGCTGGGACTCCTAATGGACACGGGAGGCAGAGGGACAATTCTATCAGCTTACATGCCAGTTCTTGTGGGAGTAGTTTTTATAGTTGGGGGTGGAGCTGAGGTCCCCACCCTTCAGTCACTCATGGGAAACCCGTTCCAAGGCCACGTAGAAACTGTTCTTGTCATCTAGGCAGTGCCAGCCAATCGGTCCAATTTCACAGTCTGCGCACACCAGAAACTTGATGTTGCCCACGTCCTTGGTGAAGCCCACGTTCTCGAAGATGAACATGTCGTCAACCAGCCAGTGTTCCTGCAGGAGGTCGCCATCGGGGTTGCTGCCATCGGCCAGCGCAGGCTTCTTTCTCATGGAGGGGAGGAAAAGCTGCAGGGGAAGAGAACAAGGAGGATGTCAGTGCTTGCGTGGCCCCGTCACCCACGTCACCGCCCCCCACTCTGCTTCCAGCAGGCTGCCAGCAGCTTCCTGGAAGAAGAAGAAGGCAGGGAGCATCATCACTGTGCTGCACTCGAGCGAGGTCACCGGCTGGCTCGTCTGCCCCAGGCCTTGATTCTAAAGGGCAGCTTCCACTGGTGGCTGTGGGGACGGCTTCCCTGCTCATCCCTGACCGACTGTGGCTAACAGACCCTACACAGCCCGGTAGACAGCTTCCCAGCTCATCCGGCCTGGTGGCCCTTCTTCAAAAGGGTTAGTCAGCTCAGATGTGCTCTCCTCAGGAGGCCGTTCCCCACCAAACCATCAGAATTGGCCTCGGACACTACCCAGGGCAGATTCATGTTCAGAAACAGCTGTACTGAGGCACACGTGACACACAAATGACACGGATTTTAAAGCGTCTAACTCGGTATGTTTTGGCCTAGGGGTACACCAGTGCGTCACCTCCAATGCTTCCTGTGCCCCTCGCACTTGACTGCTGCCCCATCACTCCCTCCCTCAAATTCTCTGCATGACTTTCCAACCAACAGGCGATCGCTTCCAGCGCATACATACACACAGTCCATCTGGCTAGTTCATGCACTGGTACCTGTCCCCGACGCCGGCAAAACACACGGCCAGAAAGGCTGGTTACCCCTCTGCTCCTCGCCCTTAGGGCTACTGTCCATCAGATTCCTACAGCTCACTCTGTTCACTCGCCTAATGCACGTCTAAACTCCTCACAAACTAGGAAGGTATCCGTGTGCCTGGCAATCAGAATGAAACCAAAGAGAACTTCCACCCGTCAAAGCAAGGCAATGCTCTGGGAGAGAAAAGCGTCTCTCAAAATTGCAGTTAGCTAGCCCGCGCCCTCACTGCCATCGAGCCAATGCCGACTACTCATAGCAACTCCATGTGGGTCTCCATGACTGCAGCTCCTTACGGGAGTAGAAAGCCCAGTCTTTCTCCCTTGGAGCTGCTAGTGGTTTTGAACTGCTGACCATGGGGATGGATCACAGCCACCATGTAGCCACCATACCACCAGGGCTCCCAAACCAGCCTCACTGCAGTCAAGTCGAGTCTGACTCAAGCAACCCTGTATGGAAGGGGTGGGGAACATCTGGCCTGAGGGCCCTCCGAGGCCCGAGAAATCAATACCAGCTAAGATCACATGCCTCACCAAAGAGAAACAGTTCCAGCCATCACATTAGGGGTGAGTTAGGGGAATGTGTGACCAAATATAGTAGGCTAGTTTTAAAATGTATGGTGTTGAATGGCTCGTGAATGATGTTATAAATACCCAAATGGCCTACGGCAGAAACAAGGTTCCCCACCCCTGCTGAACAGAGCAGGGTGAATGTGAAACAGACAGCCTCATCTGTCCCCCTTGGAGCGACTAGCCGGTGAGAACTGCTGACCTTCCAATTAGCAGCCGAATGCCTAACCCACAGTGGCACCAGTGCTACTTACAGCACCACTTGTGCACATTCAGTACCCTGGAGCGTGCATCTCCGAACGCTGGGCTGGAAGTAGTCGTGGGGTAGAGGAGGGGGCACTGATCCAAAACCCTTCTACCCACCATCTTCTAAGCCAGTATTTCCTACAGTGGATGATACTATACTCCAGGGGTGGGGAGTGGGTGGGCAGGGTGCACTGTGATGATCCAGGGAGCTGCAAAAGCAGATGCCTACATTTAATCTTAGATTATGGGGTACAGTACAAGGGTTTTTAGCTGCCAAGGGGGCACTGAGTAATTTTCTTCTGAAGAGGGGGTGGCAGTTTGGGAGCCCATGATCCTCAGCTTCACTTCGATGGCTGCTTGTTTGAATTCAAGCCTTGAAGACCCCAGACACCTAATCTGTTTTCCTTATCATTTGAAAAATGTTAAAAACACAGTCTGACTTACATTTCAGTGTAACTAATGGGGTTACATTCTAATGAGTCCATCGTTAAGTAGGTTCTGCCAAAAGTTGAATACCTCATTTTTTAAAGTGTTCATTATTATTGCCTTTTGTTATCAGTATTTTTATAAATACAACCTCTGCTCTGTCTTTGGGGACTGGCATGAGAATGATGGTAACAGCAAATTATATGCTGCAACATAGTCTGTAGTACATATTCCTAAAAATAAGCTGTCAGCACATAAAAACAAAGCAGAGGTTGGATGCGCCCTAACTCAAAAGGCATCATAAATCGAGGACTACCTAGAAATAGAATCATGTAGTCCAGTTCCCTGGAAGTTCGCCTAAGTTGTGTTTATTGCTAGCTCTTTTTTACGTCTTGTTGAGAAGTATGCCACAGTTAGAGGAGCCTTGTTGGTGTCGCAGGTTACGTGCTGGGCTGCTAACTGCAGGGTCAGAGGTTCAACACCACCAGCTGGTTCCCTGGAAGAAAGAGGAGGCTTTCTGCTCTCATGAAGCTGAAGCCTCAGCAAGCCACAAGGCAGCCCTACTGTCCTACAGGCCAGCTTGAGTTGGCACTGAGTGATGGCAGGGGGTTTGCTGGTGAGTTTATTCCATGACCCGAGTGCTGCCCATTCTCTAACAGGCTCACATGCGGTTTCTGCAGAGGGAAATGAGGCCAATGCCTTTCTGGCTCCCCGGTGCAGCTTCCAGATGATACTCCCACACCCTCACTTAGACACTTCTCTGATCACTCTTCCCCATGTACTGCCGACTGGCTCCTGGCTCCGCTTTCTTTCTGATACTATATCTGATTTCCATTTTGGTCGGCTCTGAGTTCCGTGGGAATGGCTCAGCCCCACAGTTCCCTCACCTCCTCCACTCCAATCAACTAACCTCCAACACCACTCCACTTCTTGCCATTTTATCATGCTGTCTTCTCTGTGCACTTGAGTGACATTCTGGGTTCTGGCCAAGTCAAACTTCTCAGTGTTTCAAACAGACCGTATTCTCACGAGGCAGCCATGCCACACTGAGGTTCTCTCTGCCCCTCCGAGCTTCATTGCCATTTCCTCTGCCACAGCTTTACGTAAGCGTTTGAACAGTAGTTATTGAGTTCCAGCTAAGCATGCTGAGCCATTCCATCTCTGCCACCACATTATTTATGCAGACTTTTAATTCTTTAAACGGGGCCCTGATGGCATAGTGGGTAACACGCTGCACTGCTAACTGTGGGGTCAGCAGTTCAAAAACCACCAGTGGCTCCAGGGGAGAAAGCTGAGGCTTTGTTTCTATAAAGATTGGCAGCCTTGGAAACCACGGGGGCAGTTCTGCTTTGTCCTGAAGTGGCCCCGTGAATCAGTGGCAATGCATGAGGGAGTCGGTGTCTGGGTGCTTGGAGGAGCCCTGGCAGTGCTGTGTGCTGGGTGGGCAGCTGCAGGACCCGTGGATAAACTCCCAGCTGCTCCGCAGGGGAAAGCTGAGGTGACCTTCTCGCTGAAGATTTCTGGTCACTGTGAGTTGGAATCGACTCAACGGCAGTCAGCAGGTTTGAATCCTTTATTTAAATCCAAACAATTACTAAACTCCTACTGATGGGCACAGTATGGGCTCAGGCATGGAAATGACTGTGAGAATGGCACAATACCGGGCAGTGGTTTATTCTGTTGTGCTCAGGGTTGCTATGGGTCGGAACCGACTCGATGGCACCTAACAACAACAACAGTGACCAGCGGAGGAGACCCCCAAGTGGGTAGGACACAGGAGCTCATAGATCTAGTGGTATCAACAATGGCGAGGCTGAAGGAGATTATAGATGTCAGAGTGTTCTGAGGTCTTTAGGTGCAGGTGTCTCAGCCTGAGCACTAGTGACATTTGGGGCTGGGAGAAGGCTTATGGTCAGGACACTCAGCAGCAGCCTTGACTTTTATACCCTAGATGCCAGTAATTCCCTACGGTGCCAATGAAATGTAGCTCCAGACACTGCCCAGGGTCCTCCAAAAAGCAGTCACCTCCAGGTGAGAAATACTGCGTTAGGTGAAGGAACTGTGGAATAGAATCATTAGGTCGAATGACTACTTAACTCCATCCAGGTGCTGAGCAAGTCGAGGGTGGCCTACACAGAGAATCATGTGGCCCAGGGGTAGAGAACATCTCAGGAGCAAATTCCGATATGCAGGTGACACAGCCTTGCTTGGTAAAAGCAGAGAGGTGTGAAGCACTTCCCAAGGAAGAACCAAGGCTACAGTCTTCAGTGCAGGTGATTCCACCACATCAAGAAGACAGAACCCTCACCCAGGACCAATAAGCAACATCCAGATAAGTGGAGGAAATAGTCACGTTGCCGAGGACTTGACTTGATTCCACAATCTATGCCCACAGAAGCAGCAGTTGTATTGTACCGAAGGTTGTATTGTACTGAGCAAATCTACTGCAAAAGCTGCTTTAATGCGCAAAAAACCAAAAGTGTCACCTGGAGGACTACGGAGCTTCTATCTGGTCCACGCCATGGCCTTCTCAATCACCCCTCTCTAGCAAAAGCTGGACAATGAAGAGGGAAGGATGAAGAGTTGGTGGCTGTGAGTTATAGTCTCGGTGAAGAATACGGAATATGCCGTGGACTGCCGGAAGAACAGACAAATCTGACAGGGAAGAAGTGGTCAGACAGCTCCTTAGGAGTGAGGCTAGAGAGACTCTGTCTTATGTACTCTGGACATGCTGTCAGGAGACACCAGTCCCTGGAGAAGGGCATCAGGCTTGGTAAAGTGGGGTCACTGAAAAAGAGGAAGACCCCCATGAGCTGGGCTGACATAATGGTTCCGATGCAGCCATGAGGATGATGAGAGGGCCGTGTTTAGAATCTTTTGGACATAGGGTTGCTGTGTCAGAATTCTGACAGCACCTAACAGCGGGCCCCAGACCAGTGGTTCTCAACCTGTGGGTCATGACCCTTTTGGGGACCCAAGACCCTTTCACAGGGGTCGCCCGATTCCTAAGAGTAGCAAAATGACAGTGATGAAGTAGCCACGAAAATAATGTTATGGTTGGGGG